AAACACCTCACAACATCCGAGGATGCAGGCGAAACGTCAGGAGAGAATACTTCTGGAGCATAGCATCCCGGAAAACTCACAACCCATACATGAAACAGCTTAGGAAACGGTTGCTGCTTGGCTTTGACGCAGAGAGAAAGGTTGGTTCTACTCCAGGCAAACTTGGGCCTTCGATGTGTTTTGAACTCCAACTCCCACCATTCCTAATAGCCTCAGGCCTCTTCCTTTCCCCCCTTAGCACTCCCTCCTTCCCTCCTCCCCTCTTTCTCCTTCCTTCCTTTCCTTTTGTCTTTCCTTCTTCCTCTCCTCCTTCTCTCCCTTACTTCTCTCCCTCTTTCTCCCTCCATTCCCTTCCACTCTTTCGTCCTTCCTTCCTTCCCTCTTTCCTTTATTTATTTATTTATTTATTTCCAATATTTCTATCCCGCCCTTCTCCCCTTCCTTCCATCCTTCCCTCCGTTTTGTCTTTCCTTCCTCCTTAACTTCCTCCCTTCCCTCCCTTTCTCCTTTCCTTCCTCCTTAGCTTCCTCCCTTCCCTCCCTTTCTCCTTCCATCTTTCCCTTCCAACCTTTCGTCCTTCCTTCCCCCTCTCTCTTTCTCCTTCCTTTCTTCCCTTTTGTCTTTCCTTCCTTCTCTTTCCTTTATTCTTCCTTCTTCTTTTTCTCTTCCTTCCCTTTCTCCTTTTCCTTTCTTCCCTTTCTCTTTCCTTTATCCTTCCCTTCCTTTTCTATCCTTCTCCCTTCCTTCCTTTTTCATTCTCCTTCCCTTTTGTCTTTCCTTCTTCCCTTCCTCTTTCCTCCCTCCTTCCCCCTCTCCCTCTTCCTCCCTTTTGTCCTTCCCTTTTTCTTTCTTCCCTCTTCCTCCTCTTTCCCCCTCTCCCTCTTTCTCCTTCCATTTCCTTCCCTTTTCCTTCCCTTTTGTCTTTCCTTCCTTCTTCTCTTTCCTCCCTCCTTCCCCCTCTCCCTCTTTCTCCTTCATCCTCCCTTCCCTTTTGTCCTTCCTTTTTCTTTCCTCCTCTTTCCCCTCCCCTCTTTCTCCTTCCATCCTTTCCTTCCTTCCCTTTCGTCCTTCCCTTTTGTCTTTCCTTCCTTCCCTCTTTCCTCCCTCCTTCCCCCTCTCCCTCTTTCTCCTCCCATCCTTTCCTTCCTTCCCTTTCGTCCTTCCTTCCTTTTCTCTATCCTTCCTCCTTCCCTTCCTTTCTTCTATCACGGAGCAGCCATTCCTCTCAGCAGGGAGTGTTAGCATGCGACCCCCAAGTTGGAAAGTATGTCTTCGTCTGAAAATCCTAGAAAGATAGGGTGGCAAGAGATCCCAAAGACCATCCAGTCCAACCTCTTGCCATACTGGAATATACAGTGAAAGCAGAAGGAAGGTATTCCACGGTTCAACCGCTCTCAACACCAAGAAGTTCTTTCTAATGTCTAGGTCAGGCGTGGACAAACTTAGACCCTCCAGGTGTTTTGGACTTCAACTCCCACCATTCCTAACCTCCTCAGGCCCTTTCCCGCTTAAGCGGCTGAGGGGGGAAAGGAAGGGGCCTGAAGCTGTTAGGAATGGTGGGAGTTGGAGTCCAAAACACATCAAAGGCCCAAGTTTGCCCATTCACTCATACTTAGATTGATTTAGAGTTGAGTCAGTGAGAGTGACCTGTATTCCAAAACGAAGGGTTGAATCAAGAGATCGATTGCATTTCTTTCTTCTTTCCCTTTTTTTCTTGCTCTGGTTCGAGCTTTAGAAATGGCGAGGATTCATTTTGTTTGCGAGGGAATCACAACAAGGCGTTCTCTCTTCCACGGGCGCCTTAATGGCTTTGTTTTCGCCTCGCGACCATTTCCCTCCCTTCTCTGGAGGGTCAATAATAATATTCTAATCTGATTCACTTCACCTCCTGCCGATCCTTGGAAACAAGCGTGACAGGCCGAGGGTTTTGCAAATCACAGAAGCAGGAGAGACCGGAGAGCGGCTTCATAAACAGGAGGTTTGGGGCTGGGATTGAGACAAGCCGGCCCTTCCTTCGAAGAGAAGGAAGGATGGGGCAAAAGCAGGAAAAGGGGGGGGGGGGGTTTCCACTTTCCCGCAACACCTTCCTCTCCAATTCAGCGTCGAACAGCGCTCTAGTTCAGTGTTTCTCAACCTTCCTAATGCCTCGACCCCTTAATACAGTTCCTCATGTTATGGTGACCCTCAAACATTAAATTATTTTCGTTGCTACTTCACAACTGTAATTTTGCTGCTCTTATGAATCGTAATGTAAATATCCGATATGCAGGATTGTATTTTAATTCACTGGACCAAATTTGGCACAAATACAAATACTGCTGAGGTTGGCAGGGATTGATTTTGTCTTTTGAGAGTTGTAGTTGCTGGGATTTATAGTTCACTTAGAATCAAAGAACATTCTGAACCCCACCAACGATAGATTTGAACCAAACTTGGCACACAGAACTTCCACGAGCAACAGAAAGTACTTGGAAGGGTTTGGTGGGCATTGACCTTGAGTTTTGGAGTTGTACAGCCAGAAAGCACTGTGGACTCAAATAATGATGGATCTGGACCAAACTTGGCACGAGTATGCAATCTGTCCAAATGTTGAAGTTTGGGGGAAATAGACCTTGACATTTGGGAGTTGTCGTCGCTGAGATTTATAGTTCGCTTACAATCGAAGAGCATTCTGAACCTCACCAAGATAGAATTGGGCCAAACTTCCCACACAGAACCCCTATGACCAACAGACAATACTGTGTTTTCTGATGGTCTTTGGTGATCCTTTTGACACCCCCCCTCGACCCCCAGGTTGAGAAACACTGCTCAAGTTCAAGGACCTCAAACATGCCTCTCTTCTCTGCCCTTCTTTCACGTCAAATCACCCAAACGGTGCTTCATTTTGAGCGTTTTATTTCTGCCACACCAGTCAGAAAACTGGAGGGGAAAAAACCTTTGGAGTATTCTGAAAAGCCGGGTCTAAATCGTGGCTTAAAGCGAGACAGGAGACTGAGAAGAAACGGGCTCCAAGGGAGTTCCAAGGGACTCTTCTTTCCAAGTGAGCTGCTTGTTTGAAAAGTTCCATAGGAACCCGAAGGAAAAGAGGGTGTCTCGTTGCGTCCCAAACCTTCCCTTCGTCAACAGCATGTTTCAAATGTATTGGGATTATTTCCCCACATTTTCCTTTCCAAAGGGTGTCTCCAAAACGCCGGGAGCAAGCGCCCGCATTTGGGAACCAAGCCTTAAAGGCCAAGGCAGAAAGTGTGGGGGAATCTGAACTGTCAGAAACTCCAACAGAAAGAAGCTCACGGCTGCGGGGTCTGTGCGTCAAGGCGCAGGGAAGCGCCCGCGTTTTGCGCCTCGGTCTTCCTTCGCTTTTTCTCCTGCAGTCACCCGTTCCCCAGATAAACCCAGGCAGCCATTAACGAGGGGCGACCACAGCCGACAGTGAGGCCGATCAAGCCTACACCGTGGCCGAGGGAAGCGGGTGGGGGAGAAAATGTGGCCAGTTGCAACATTCACTCTTGCCTCAAAGAGACACGAGTACTTTCTCCCACTCTGGACATTCCACAGATATAGAAACCCCACTTGCCTAGTTTCCAACAGGCCTCACAACCTCTGAGGATGCCTGCAATTAGATGCAGGCGAAACGTCAGGGGAGAATGCTTCTGGAACATGGCCATACAGACCGGAAAACTCACAGCAACCGACAATACATTGAGAGAGAGTAGTTTAACCGGAGGAAGAAAGCGAGATAATGGGTTCGGTGTACATTAATTTTTCTTATTCTGGAGATGCAGAAGTTTGTATGTATGTATGCGTGCGTGTCTTCTTCCTCTTCCTCCAGATCCCACTCCTGTCCTTTTTTCCTCATGACCTCCCTCCCGAGTCCCTCCCCATAAAAAATAGAGCGAAATCTGGTTTTCTTTGCGCGCTGATCTCTGGACCCAGGATGACGTCGCCTGGGTAAAAGGCCAGAGGTGGGGCTGGATTAGAGGCTGAGCCCAAGCGGAGGAGATCTGGGAGGAGAGAAAGAAGGAGAAGAGAAAGAAGGGGGGAAGGAGAGGAGGAAGAAGCAGGAAGAGGAGGAGGAGGAGAGGGAAAAGAAGAGGACGAGGAAGAAGCAGAGGGAGAGGAATCAGGAGGAGAAGAGGGAGGAGAAGGAGAGGGAGGAGGAAGAAGCAGAAGGAGAGGAAAGAGGAGAAGAGGGAGGAGGAGGAGGAGGAATAGGGGAAGAGGAAAAGCAGAAGGAGAGGAAATAGAAGAGGGAGGAGGAGGAGGAGGTTAGGAAGAAGAGGAGGAGGAGAAGGAGAAGGGAGGAGAGAAGGAAGAGGGAAGGAGAGGAGAGGAAACAGGAGAAGAGGGAGGAGGAGGAGGGGAAGAGGAAAAGCAGAAGGAGAGGAAACAGAAATAGAAGAGGGAGGAGGAGGAGGTTAGGAAGAAGAAGGAGGAGGAGAGGAAGAAGGAGAGGAAACAGGAGGAGAAGAGGGAGGAGGAGGGGAAGAGGAAGAAGCAGAAGGAGAGGAAACAGGAGAAGAGGGAGGAGAGGAATAGAGGAGGAGGAGGAGGAGGAGGAGGAGGAGGAGGAGGAGGAGGGAGGAGAAGAGGAAAAAGCAGAAGGAGAGGAAAAAGCAGAAGGAGAGGAAGCAGGAATAGAAGAGGGAGGAGGAGAAAAAGGAAACAGGAGGAGAAGAGGAAGAAGGAGAGGGAGGAGGAGGAGAAGAAGAGGGAGAAGGAGAAGAGGAAGAAGCAGAAGGAGAAGAGGAAGAAGCAGAAGGAGAGGACTCTGGAAGAGAAGAAGGAAGAGGAGGAGAAGCGGAAAAGGTGGAGAAGGAGGAGCAGAAGAGGAGGAGGGGGAGAAGGACTCAGCCGAAGGAGGATTCCCCCCCCCCTCTCTCTTTTGGGGAAGGAAGGAGAGGCACGGCTGAGTGGCAGGCTCGCCCCCTCCCCTCCAGCCTCCCTCCCAAATAAACCAGGTCCTCGGAGCCTCCTGAAAAACCTCATTCCCTTCTTCGGGGAGCCGCCGAGGCGCACAGCGGAGCACCCGCGCCTTCCTCCTCCTTCTCCTCCTTCTCCTCCTTCTCCTCGTCTCCTTCTGCCGAGCCCCGACTCCGCTTGCCTGCCTCCCTCGGTCCGGGCTCCGGGGCGGGGGGATGCCTGCGGGCATGTTCAGCATCGACAACATCTTGGCGGCGCGTCCCCGGTGCAAGGAGGCGGCGGGGCACCCCCTGGCAGCCCCTCAAGCGTCGCCCAGCGCCGTCCCTCCGCCGCCCCCTCCACCCGCGGTGCTCTTCTCGGCCGGCCTCCACGGAGGGGACTCGCTCTACGCCTCGGCGGCCAGCAGCGGAGGGGCAGGAGGCAACGGGGGCGGCGGGCCCGGAGGAGACTTCGGCACCAGCTACTACGCGCGGGCCGTGGCGCCGGCGTCCAACCTGGCGGCCTTGGGCGGCTCTCGCCTGGGAGGCTACAGCAGCTACTACTACGGGCAGCTCCACGTCCAGGCCTCGCCCGTGGGGCCCTCCTGCTGCGGGGCCGTCCAGCCCTTGGGCGCCCAGCAGTGCTCCTGCGTCCCCGGCACAGGTAGGCACAGGCAGGGAAGGGCATCCAGGCGCGCAGCCACGACGGCACCAGCGAGAGACACTCTCTCAGCCTTGTAGGGAGGGAAGTGGGAGCCAGCCTGGGCTGCGCCTAGAGAAGTCATGCAGCATTGCTAGCGCTCAAGGCTATGGGAAGCTATTTATTTATTTATTTATTTATTTCATTCACTTATACCCCGCCCTTCTCACCCCTAGGGGGACTCAGGGCGGCTTACATAAAGGGCACAATTAGATGCTAGGAGTTGTAGATTGAGGAGGCTCCAGCCCTCTTTGGAAGAGAAAGAAGGCGAAAGATGTTGAGAAAATGCCACTCTCACAGAGTCACAGCGTTGAGCCACGGCAACTAAAGTGGTGTGAAACTGTGTTATTTTTCAGTGTAGATGTGCCCCCGGTTTGAGCGTTGGTCCGACGGTGACGCCAATGCAGTGACCTGGCTGTACTCATCCGCTTCCAGCAAACCGGCAGAAGGTTCGCCTTGAAGTTGGGGAGGACTTGAGAGGCGTCTCACACTGTCGTATTAACGCAGTTCGACATCACTTTAACTGCCCTGGTTTAATGCTATTTCAGGGTCCTTCCCTATATCTCAGAATATCAAGGCAGAAAATCTCACTACCTCTGAGGATGCTTGCCATAGATGCAGGCGAAACGTCAGGAGAGAATGCCTCTAGAACATGGCCATATAGCCCGAAAAAACCTACGACAACCCAGCGATTCTGCCTCGATATTCTGGGATATAGGGCTGTGTGGAAGCGCCCACAGTTTTACCAGTTCTGTAACCTTCTCTAGCCCAAGCCTCTTCCACACCGCTGAATAAAATCTCACATTTTCTGCTTTGAACTGGGATATATGACAGTGTGGGCTGGATTATACGAGTCAGATAATCAGTCAGTGCCAGATAATCTGGGATAAACAGGAAACCTGGGATCCGTTCCTGGCATATAGAGCCTGTCTTTAGGCCCCTCCCAGGCAGCTGTATAAAAAATCCCATATTATCTGCTTTCAATTGGGATATATGGCAGTGTGGACTCAGATTACCCAGTTCAAATCAGATATTGTGGTATTTTCTTCCTCGATATTCCGGGTTATATGGCTGTGTGGAAGGGCCTCAAGAGTGCTAGTGCCTCACCAAACTACAACTCCCACGATGAGCCATGGCAATTCAAGTGGTGTCAAACTGTGTTAATTCTACAGTGTAGATGCACCCTTGTACACACACAGAAAAATAAGAAGACAGAAAGATAGGAAACCCCCTTCCCTCAATAAATATTGCTAAGGGAATCTCCATAAAATGGGCCCCAAATCCTAATTTAATAACGTCTAAATGCATTTCATCAGTTTTTCTTAGGTAAGGAGTACTCAGAGATGCTTTGTGCCATTTCCTTGCTTTAAAATATAGCCTACAGCTATAGGTGTTGTTAGTGTCCCATCCAGGTCGTCAACAGGGCTGACTCTGTTTAGCTTCCAAGGGCAGATGGGATTTGGTGCCTTATAGGATGTAACAACAATTCAACTTCGAAGGAGTTTTAAAAATTCATGCCTCCATATGTGAGACTGAGGTCCCTTTCACACTTTGCTGTTATCTCACTCTGAATACATTTTGCCAGTTTCCTCCTATGAGATCCTGGGATCTGTAGTTTAGTGAAGTACTGGCGTTCTCAAATACATAATTCTAATTAACTGTAAAGCTACAAAGTATAGAAATCCATAGGATGGAGAGGGAAAATTAAAGTGCTATAATTGAAGAGTGTGGAAGAGACCTAAGAAAAAGAAAAAGAAGAAGCTTAAACCTTGGTGGACTCCAGTCCACTTCATCAAATGCATCAAATCACATAATAATAATAATAATAATAATAATAATAATAATAATAATAATAATCTTGGTGAATCTCAATAGGCCCACAGGATTTTTTTTCCCACATCTTCTAAATTCCAACACATCTTTAGACCCCTAACACCCATTGTTGAGCTATGGATTAACACAGAGATAAATCCCATTGAGTCAATGGGTCTGCTTTAATTGTGAGTTAAATGGGTCTGGAGACATTTGGAGCAAGCTCTTCATTGGATAACACAGCCCAATTTTAAAAATCTTTATATTTTATTTTTTAGGTCTCTTTCTGGGGTTATTTGGGTCTCTGATTCAGAAAATTGCATTGGATAGACTGCATCAACTCTAGTTATTATGGTTTGCTATGGGAGAAGATATGGCACCTGGTAGATGGCATATGTGCTGTATCCCAAAAACTAGAGCTGATAGGGGAAAACTGGTGCAATTTTTGGAATCAGCAGGTCAGGTATCCCCAGAAACAAAATAAAAAATTGAGGGACTAAATGTGTGTTGGCCAGTGTCATTCCTTATACTTGGTGAATACTTTGGAAACCAAGCAAAGGCCTGGAAGTATAGGAAGACTTAGCTCTACCATAAGACAGAATGTGGCAGAGGCCTCTGCTGATTGAGTTAGAATTTTAGTTTAATGAGGAACCACTAGTATTGGCAGAGAAGGCTAAAGATCTTGTAAAACTATAACTCCTATGATTCCATAGCATTGAGCCATGGCAGTTAAAGCAGTTCCAAACTGCATTAATTCTACAACCTGGATGTCCACTTGGAGTTTTGTCCAGCAGTACAGAGCTTAAAGTGGCTTTTTTGGAGGTGGAGGGGGTACAACTCTCTGAATCTCCCCCAGGTCAAAACAATTGACATTGCTAAATAACTCTTCCTTGTAGTTTTTAGTGCCACAGAGAGGATGGGGTCAGACACTTGTTGGAGTGTCTGTCTATGATGGCAAAGGGTGCGTCTACACTGTAAAATGAATGCAGTTTGACATCACTTATACTGTCATGCCTCAATGCTATGGAATCGTGGGAGTTTTGATCTTTCACTTTCTCTGCCAAAGGGTGTTGCTGTCTGGATTTCACTGTAGATGCACCAAAGTCTAGAATTATATGGTTTTGGCGATGTTTGGCACCAAGAGTTGCTCCCAGTTAGGCAGAAAATTGCATTGAGAAGGATGCCACAAGATGCTGGTGGTTAACGCAGCTACAACCTGCTAGCTGGGCACATCTATATCTTCTATATAAATAAAAAATGTAATGTTTGTTTGTGGGATTAACATAACTCAAAAACCACTGGATGAATTGACACCAAATTTGGACACAATACACTTATTAGGCCAACAAGTGACCATCACTCATAAAACACTGAAAAACACATCAAAAGAGACCTAAAAGCCAAAAAAATAAAAAATGCATTACAACGCATGCACAAAACCACATATATACACACACACACATACATACACACACAAAACACATATACACAGATTGGGCCACAGCAACGGTGGCAGGGGACAGCTAGTCTATATAAATAAAAATGTAATGTTTGTTTGTGGGATTAACATAACTCACAAACCACTGGATGAATTGACATCAAATTTGGACACAGTACACCTAACAGTCCAACAAGTGTCCATCCCTCCTAAACACACACACACAAACCCCAGCAGAACAGACTTAAAAACCCAAAAAACACACCACATACATTCATATACATATACACATGCACACATTCATACACACACACATACATATACACATAGTCACACACAAATATACACATAGTCACACACATACATATACATACACACATATATACATATACACATGTACACACAACTATACATATAATACACACAAATATGCATATAGATAAGCACAAACATATACACAATATGCATGTACACACACACATATATATATACACACACGCAAACACACATATATACAAAAATATATATACACACAAAACACATATACACAGACTTGGCCACAGCAACGCCTGGCAGAGGATGGGTAGTATATTATTATTATTATTATTATTATTATTATTATTATTATTATTATTATTATTATTATTATTATTATTGATTTAATGCAGCTTAATTACCATGGTTCAACGTGAATGAATTCTGGGATGTATAGTTTGGTACAGAAATATAAAAAACTTGTACAACTACAGCTCCCACGATACCATCGCATTGAACCAGGACAGATGAACTGGAATGTGACTGAAAGTGGATCCATGGAGTGAGGAATGTTAATGGAGAACTATTTTCCATATCTGAATCCACGGGTTTATTAATAGTACAAATAAAGTTTCCCCTAGATAATTTGGTTCAGCTGTAAACAACAGAGTGTCAAAAGTAAATTCCTAGAAGGGGCCCCTGATTTTTGGGGGGTTGGGAGGGGGTAAACATTGGCAAACAGTTTAACTATTTGCAGGGACTTTGGGTGGAACTAATTTCCCCACTCCATTGTTATTTAATAGAAGACTGGATCTACTCTGCCCTATATCCTAGGATCTCATCCCAGATTATCTGCTTATCCCAGATTATCTAGTAGAGTAGACTCATATAATCCAGTTCAAAGCAGTTTAGTTTTTTTGCGTTTGGTGAGGCACCTGTCCACTTCAACAGAGAAAGCTACAGTCCCTTTGGGGAGATAGGGTGGTCTACAAAAATTATTATTATTATTATTATTATTATTATTATTATTATTATTATTATTCTGACACAAAAGCACAGTATGTCACAGCAAACGAGATCCATATGCTGGATTTCGTATCATTATATACCTATCAATAATAATAATAATAATAATAATTATTATTATTATTATTATTATTATTATTATTATTATTACAGACCTTGTAAAAGTACAACTCCCATGACTACAGGGCATTACCCCATGGCAATTAAAAATGGTGTCAAACTGCATTCATTCTACAATGTGGCTGCACCCTTAGTGTAACTCTTTGTCAAGTAAATATACATAGAATATACAGTACTACAGACAGCCATGGTTATTTTCTTTTTGTGGTGGTGGGAGGTTTTGAAAAGTATCTTAATATTTCTCAGACAGACTGAAAATCCTTGAGGAGACTCAGACCATTTCTACACTCCCAGATAAAATCCAGATTATCTG